ATTAGTTCTACATTTTGTCCCTCTCCTTTTGTCCCTTTCCTTTATGATTTCCTCTCTTTGTTTTGTTCTCAGCTGACTTTTCATGCTGTCTCAAAATCTACTTGCTCTGGAGAGCAGAGTTTGGTACTTTTATATGTTGTAGCCAAAGTCTCTGCCAGCAGAAAAAGTCGCTAATTTTGGCTTTAGGCACTTTTTTAAAATTAAAATGCTTGAGGGGTCTGAAAATTCACTAAATATAGCGACAAAAGTGCTAAGTTGGCAACACTGCTCTTCGCACTGCTTGTTTTCAAATGCTTTGCTGCTGTCTGTTTGGACCTTTCTGAACATGTGCAGCAAATGGACTGATCCAATATGGTGGACACTGAGTAATATAAGTGTTCTGATGGCATTTTAGCGACATAATTTTTATCAAAAACTTAATTAATGTGCTCAAATCAGTATTAACCATACATGTAGACAGAGTTTTATGGCAACTGCCTAGTATTGCCTATTGGTCAACCCCCTCCTGGCTTTAGCAGCCCTTTCTGCTCTCTTCATACCAACCAAATCTGTTCTTTTGTTTTGCAGGAATATTTCACAGAAAGATCGCCGAATATCAGAAGAAAAGCGAGAAATCGAAGAAACACTAGCTGACACTTTGGGACTCTGGGTGTAAATATATCTATAAATAGTAGGAGCGTAGATAGGAAAAGATGTGAATATTGCACTGTGTTTTTTTAATTATTTTTAAGTTTGGTTTAATATAATTATTTGTCAAAGTGTGAATTACTGTATGACCGTGGTGCTGCTACTCACAGTGTCAAACACTGGCGTATGGGAAACTTCTGACAGTGAGGTGAATTTTAGACTGTGGCCTCCTTTTGGACGCTAACGAACAGGAAAATCATTTCTTATATAGATTAAATTCAGTCCATGGACCTTCTGATGTGATTTTAATGCTTGAGGAGTTTAGTTTTAGGATGCATCCAATGTTTACTTTCACTGTTGTTACTGTATAGAGTCTCAAATTTTATGTAAAAACTGAATTCTTCAGTGTGTATAAATGAAAATGTTTCTAAAATTCCTTCCAATTAAAAAAATCAGATGAAATAAAACATGGATTGGCTGTTTTTGGTCACTTTTATTCTACAAACATCTCCACATGAACCACACGAGGGACCCTGGGATGGATGTGCTTTGCCGGGTTTAATTTGAGTGGAAATAGGTTGATTTCCCAGCAGCCAGTGTTTGTAGAATAAAATCTTACAGCAACTTTCTTCATCTGCAACTTTTACAAACCAGAAATAGTTTTTTAAGGTGTATTACAGTAAAAGTTGTTAAAATGTACACACTAAGCCTAGCGCCATTCTTCCCGCTTTACAAGCTAAATCAATGGGAACTACTAGACACATCTGCAATCAACAACAATTATTGAAGATTTCCAGAGGACTTCACCATTGAAATTCACCAGAGCTATAGTGAAACTGACAATGCCCACGTGCATGGCAGCTGGATGCTGGAATACATCGGGTTCTTTCAATGGACGGGTTGGTCGTTGGATCGCCAACCTGAAGAGGGAGGATTTGCCATCGAACTTCTGGCCAGAGAAAAAACCCGTAATATGTAGCCAACATTTGGAAGAAGAATGTTTTCAAGATGACTTGGATAATAGCGCGTTGTGACAAACACCAGATACAGCACTGGGACTTGATCAACAGCCGATACCGCACTGTGACGTCACAAACCAGTAGGTGGCAGTAGTGTTCTTTGACAAACATGGATGCCTCCAGTAAAGCACATTCACATAAAAATTACTCTTAATTAAAAACACTGAGCATTTATTGAACAGTATGTAATAATTTCATATTTAAAGTACTTTCAGAAGTTTGTATTCTGAATATGACCAGACTTTTACTTTAAATATAATGCATCACAACAAATGTAATTTGTTTAGAATACTTTAAAGTTTTTTTTTTTTATCATTGAAAAGATCTGAATACGATTCTTAAACCAATTAATTCAACTTAAAGGTAAGATTGTTTTGAACTAAATTGAAAAGAGATTTAAATCAAGTAGAATTAAACAAGAAAACTCATCATCCATGGTCTACAGACGCCCTCTAGTGGTGAGCCTGGAAATGACACAATTTGTTTTCAGTTTTGGGTCCTGGAGCTTTTTATTGGATCAAAGACTTCGCCATAAAGTGGGTGTTTCAGCATCATGATTTTAAAAGTGTTTGTAGGTTCTTAATAGTAATACTAATCTTAATCACAATGTTTAAAATCTAGTTTAGGATATGAGTTTTACCTGCATTATGTTTGCAGTCAACCCAAAAATGTTATAAAGTTGATCTTCCATCACTCTCCAGCTCTTTGGCCTGTTCAGCTGTTTGAAGATGGCGTCACTAAGCTGGGATGGATCACCACTTCTACACAGGGCTACTTCAAACTGACATTTATCATTATTAGTTTCTTTTAATTTGTCGCTTAAACTACGCTTTTCGATTCAAAGCAAAAAAAATAAAAAATAAAATCAGGCAATGTATAGAAATATACAGTGATGTAAATCCAAACTTAAACTTCAGTCATGAAAAAATATTTGAAAAATTATGCTTAAAGGGAAGACAATCAAAAGCTGCTCAGAAAAGATCGAATCTAGTCACGCTGCTCTGCTAACTACAGAGCATCGCATTAAATCAACTACAGTTAGCCTCTTTTAAATTCATTGTTCACAATTTGTATAGATCTATATTTATCTGAACAGATGAATAGATTATTGGATATTATGCTAATGTGAATCAGGTAAACAACCTGCAGATAAAACAGGTCACCTAATGGTAGAATTTAACCATTTTTGAAAATATAGGATATTGGCAGAATTAATAGTTTTTGTTTGTGCTTTATTTCCTTTGCAGAAACCTAGTCATTAAAGAACTATTTAATAATAGAAAATCCGTCTCAAAATAACTTTGTTCCAATTTTTCCTGTTAATCTTACTTTCAATTTTCATAAAAATATTAATGTTTTTGTCTTTTAGTAATTCAGTCAAATAGGTTTTGAAACCTTCTGTTATCATGAAAACTCCCTACAAGTGTTGAGCTGCTCCATGCCTGTGACAGCAATAAACTCTGGTAACCAGCTCCACAACACAGTGGTGGAGCTATTTAAATATCATTAAAAACTTATTTTATTCACCTATTTTTTTGTTGTTGAAAATATCTGTTATATCAATTGAAAGAAGAATGTATTATTTTCTTAAAAATAGGCCATGTTTGTGCAGTGGGGTAATAACTACATCCACAGCTTGGAAGCCACCAGCGCTACACTGAAAAAAATTAGATATATGGAAGTCATTTTTTTTCTTGAAATAATCGGTTTACCAAGTTTTGAGCATCTAAGAATGACAACTTGCCAGTCGAAGAGGATTGTTTATGATTAAAATAGGAAAAACACATCAATATTATACATTAACTAGGCAACTTATATTGTCATTTTGTATACATCGAGTGTATACAAAAGGAAATTTCATTTATACAGCTTTCAAACAGTAAATGAGCAGCAGCTTAGCAGTGAAATGAACATTTCCCATTCATAAAATGCAGCAGTGATAGAATGTAAACTGTGTGTGAGAAAAAACATGGTGCAAAAGGCATTATTAAATGTGTAATATCTGTTTTATTTTAAGGGCAAAAATACTGCTTCTATAGGCAGAGCATCTCATTTACATGCTTTAAACTAATGGAAAATGCAATTATTTGAAGAAATGTTTAATATATTAATATTGTTGTTTTTAAATGATTGCAGCATAAGACAAAAGGACAGCACTAACAAGCTAGTGTATGATGAGGAAAGATTTTTGAAAAGTTTTCATAATTTCTGAAATATGCGTAAATAAACATTCAAACTAAAATAAAAGTTTATTGGGCTTAACTTTTAACAGGTTTGAGGTTACTTTATTGTTTTTATATGAAATGCACACCTTGTTATTTTTGAGTCCATTTGCGCGATTCTAGAACAACAGTAACAAACCTACTGCAAATACAACAGAGAGCACAGCACTTTTGTCTGAACAGCGTAAAAATCAGACATAAAAAATAAACAGACAACATTAAAGCGAACACAGAAATAAATTCGTATAAAAATTAAATATTAAAGCTGAAAAATATGACATTAAACAAATAGGGTGATTATTATAAAGGTGAATAAATAAAATGAGCATATTGAAATATATTAATAAATGTATTATATTTAACATTTTTAATTGTATTTATTGAGCATGAATTTATTTCTGTACTTATTTTTAATTATGTCTGTGTTGGTGCTCCATATAAAGCTGTTCAGTTTGATTAAAATCTGGAATCTAATGATAATAAAGTGATACTTTTTTATGCGTTTCTGGAAAAAAAAGGGCATTTATTTGTTTAAATATTTTGCATGGTATGATAAATGAACTAAGTATCTAAAACAATTATCAAACATGTGATGCAGCAGAGTTAAAGTTATTTACTGAACTGATTTTACTTTTTGGAAGCATCTGTCCTTTGTTCTGTAACCTGTTTGGTTGGCTGAAGGTCTGAACATGTGAGGACAGGTTGGAGCCGCTAGGTGTCCTACTGAGTTCAAAGACAGGGCGATCACCGCCCCCATCATTAGCAGAACAAGAGCCCGAGCAGCTACCGCACCTTCGATCAAGGTAAGCGAACAAAGACTGACCACGTAGATACTCTATTGAGGCGGTTTGTGTCAGTTTCCCGGACTTGAACACGCGTTCACTGTCTAAATAAAGTAAAACTCTACTGCTTTCCTGTGTCATGTTTGGCTTTTGACTAACTAGCTAACGTTTACTAGCTAACTTTCACTTAGCTGTTTGCCTAAAGAACTTCAGCTCTTGCAGCTAGCTGAAATGAAAGCAGAAGTTCCGTTTCAGGATTTCAAAATAAAAGTCTAAATATTGGACTTCCGTTTTATTATTTTAAATTGAATTCCTTTCCCGGAAGCGTAGTTACCCATGATGGAAAACTTGTTGCAGACTGGAACTTTAAAAGCTAACTAGCTAGCTAAAGTGATGTTAGCAGGTAAATAGGGTAATTTGTGAACCTGGAAGTTGGTGAAGAGACCAATTTATGATCGAGGAGTAGGTTAAAAGGTGCCGAATGACGTCAAATGGTGGTTTGAACTGATACCTAAAATCCAGGATAACCAACTAACTTGCTAAGTGATTTTTGGTGCGTATCATTCCGTTGCTACCGAAACTAGCTCCGTGTTGTTCCGACTGTCTGGCTCACTTCTAGTGTTTCCTCCTTTAGGTCCGAGCTGGACTCAGTCTTTGTTTTTGTTTGTTTTAGTTGGTGGATGGATTAATAATGCTTAATTTAGCGATTGCTCTTTAAATTAAAGTAGAAAAGTAGTTTTATAGTAAGCCTAAAACGCCATAATAACATTCCCGGTACCGATTCTGGGTGTTTTTAAAAGTTTAGATCCGGTTTTCCTAAAAGGTAAAGGCCAACGATCCGCCTGTTTTAAATTATTTTATGTTGCTTTTTTATTACAGTAGTTGATCGCCATGTTGCTGTTTTTGTTAAACAGTTTTATCTCTTCGGGCTGAAGATAACAGCAATTCTTGTACAAATCAATGTTGGATATTGATATATCGCTGACTCCATAGCAAGCTACCATTTTGTCTTTTTCACAGTCCATAGTTTATAATACTAGTTAGACTGTTTGATGTTTTAAACTTCTTATCTGTTTAAATCTCCTCCCATATAAAAATGTTCTGACCTTCATAGATGTTGGATTTTTCAGGTTATTAACTATTATTAACTATCAATTTAGTTGTTCCTCGTGGTAACCTTTCTAAATGTCCTAATAGTTTCTCTATAATGCTAAACCATCTCCTCCACTGTTTCATTTACCATCTAACTGAAGAAAAAAAACCTTAAAACTTCTCTTGCCTTACTCTTATAAAACTAAAGGCAGATTAGTTTAAGATATTTTACTTTTTTTCTTGGCCCTATGATATCCAATTCAATTCAGTTTGTTTCTATAGCTCCAATTCACATCACATGTAATCTCAATACACTTTTCAATTCACCAGATCATCCAGTTAGATTGATTCAAAGTTGTCATTGATTCAAAGTTGTCTAAGGAAAACCAGTTGATTGCATCGACTCATTGACTCTTCAGCAATCCCTCACACTACGCATGCTTGTAGCAACAGTGGAGAGGAAAAACTTCCTTTAACAGGAACAAACCTCCAGCAGAACCAGGCTCAGTGTGAGCGGCTATTTGCTGAGGCAGACTGGGGTTCAAGGAGACGGAAGCAGGCACACAAAAAGCAGCTGTAAAAGGCGGCCCCTTCCAGAAAACACACAGCCAGGCAGACGAGCTCCGAGCCAGCTCCCATGCCAGAGGACGAAGAGAGCACATCCAGCCAGTCACAGTCAGAGAAACAGGACTACACTGGAAAACAGGATGGAGTCACAGCCAAATAGGAACTGAGGATGTAAAGCTAATATGAGAAAAAGCAGAGAAAGCAGAACATTAGAGATTGAACTAACAGATTCTGCAGAATAGGAGAATAGATATAGAATGTAGCAGAATGATAAAATAAAGTAGGGATCCTATTTGATCCATTGTTTTTAAAGAAAATAAAAATGTAGTTAGATTTAAACTTTGTAAAGCAATTGAAGTTAAATTTTCAACAGATTACCCCTAAATGTGCATTTTATCACTGTATTAAATGACAAACAGCTCTGTGTTGTAATGTGACCTAAGGCCTTAGATTTAAATTAACAACCTGTTGAATATTATTGCTTTGTGTAATAACTGTAATTACGTTTTTAGACTACGTCGTCATGAAAATAAACCGATCACAATAATCATGATGCCTTCTATACTAGTCATAGCCAAAAGTTTTGAGAATGTTTCAAATGTTAATATTTACAAAGTCTACTGCTTCCGTTTTTATAGCGGCAATTTGCATATACTCCAGAATCAACTTAATCCCCCAAAACACATTTCAACATAATTGCAGCCCTGCCTTAAAAGGACCAGCTAACATGGTTTCAGTGATTGCTCCATTAACACAGGTGTGGGTGGTGATGAGGACAGGGCTGGAGATCAATCTGTCAGGATTAAGGAAGAATGACACCACTGGACACTTTAAAAAGAGGCTGGTGCTTGGCATCATTGTTTCTCTTCTGTGAACCATGGTTATCTCTAAAGAAACACGTGCAGTCATCACTACACTGCACAAAAATGGCCTAACAGGAAAGAGAATCGCAGCTAGAAAGATTGCACCTCAGTCAACAATCTATCGCATCATCAAGAACTTCAAGGAGAGAGGTCCCATTGTTGCCAAAAAGGCTCCAGGGCGCCAAGAAAGACCAGCAAGTGCCAGGACCGTCTCCTAAAAGTGTTTCAGCTGCGGGATCGGGCTACCAGCAGTGCAGAGCTTGCTCAGGAATGGCAGCAGGCAGGTGTGAGTGCATCTGCACGCACTGCGAGGCGGAGACTCTTGGAGCAAGGCCTGGTCTCAAGGAGGGCAGCAAAGAAGCCACTTCTCTCCAGGAAAAACATCAGGGACAGACTGATATTCTGCTAAAGGTCCAGGGAGTGGACTGCTGAGGACTGGGCTAAAGTCATTTTCTCTGATCAATCCCCTTTCCGATTGTTTGGGACATCTGGAAAACATCTTGTTGGGAGAAGACGAGGTGAGCGCTACCACCAGTCTGGTCTCATGCCGACTGTAAAGCATCCTGAAACCATTCATGTGTGGGGTTGCTTCTCAGCCAAGGGAGTCAGCTCTCTCACAGTCTGACCTAAAAACACAGCCATGAATAAAGAATGGTACCAGAATGTCCTCCGAGAGAAACTTCTCCCAACCGTCCAAGAGCAGTTTGGTGATGAACAATGCCTTTTCCAGCATGATGGAGCACCTTGCCACAAATCAAATGTGATATTTAACTGGCTTAGGGAACAAAACATAGAGATGTTGGGTCCATGGCCTGGAAACTCCCCTGATCTTAATCCCATTGAAAACTTGTGTTCAATCATCAAGAGACGGGTAGACAAACAAAAACCTAGGAATTCTGACAAAATGCAAGCATTGATTGTGTAAAAATGGACTGGTATCAGTCAGGATTTGGTCCAGAAGTTGATTGAGATCATGCCAGGGAGAATTGCGGAGGTCCTGAAGAAGAGGGGTCAACACTGCAAATATTGACTTGCTGCATGAACTCATTCTGTCAATAAAAGCTTTTGTTACTCATAATATGATTGCAATTGTGTTTCTGTATGTGATGACAACATCTAACATGAAAACCAGAGGGCAGCAGATCAGGTGAAAATATAATATTTGTGTCATTGTCAATACTTTTGGCCATGACTGTAGATATCCTGTTTCTGTTTGGTTCCACGTTGTTTTGGTCACTTAAACGATCGTATCTTCCCAGGCAAAGTATGGCAATGACCGGGCCGAGCTCGTGTGCCTCTATGAGTAACCACACCAAGGAACGGGTCACCATGGCTAAAGTGACCTTGGAGAACTTCTACAGTAATCTGATCGCTCAGCATGAGGAGCGAGAGATGAGGTAAGAATCAGGCCTTTTAGCTCCGCAAACGTAGCATGTATGAGCAGTCGAGCATTTCTTGTTTAGTTTGACAGTTTTTCTTTTTTTAATGAAGTTGAAAGAAGGAACATGTTTCATCAGGATGTGGGCTATGTCATGATGAAGTTAGGGCAGGGCTGTTTCCTGTTGTGACAGGTTACATCAGTGCACTTTTCTCAATCCTGTTTGGTTTTCGTCTTGAAGAGCTGCAAGGAATTTTTTCTTAATTAACAAAGCTTAGATCATTGGGGAAATTACACTTTTTAACATTTGGTGTTTTCTTCCTGTGAGCTGACAGTTTTACCTACTGAGATGTTTTGATGTTAAAATAGTTTAAGTTAATGTTGGTGTTTTTAAAGTTGTAGCAGTGCTTTTTCCTGTCCTAAATGTAAGCAAGTCTTTTCCAGGTTGTAAGATCATATGGCAGAGAAGCTCTAATAGATAACTAAAACAGCTTTTAAAACTTGTTGATCATTTATTCTATTATTTGATTATTAAAATGCTGTTTTATTTGAGCTTTTTGGCAGTTTTTCATTAATAATTGACAGAGAGCAGATCCTCAGTCACCAATCTCATTCCCGACCTTGTAAGTTGAGGCTATTATTTAACCAAAGCTCAGTGGAAAAACTCAAACTCCAAACCTCTGTGGAAAAAACAAACAGACCTTTAAACAAACTGTAAAGCGTTGTGTTGGACGGCTGATGGTTTCAGGCTTGTTCTGCAGCCAAAAATCCTAGAATTGTGCATCCAAACCACCTATTTTACCTACATTTTATTTTCTCATGCCCCACCTTTAGTTGCATTTTTTATCCAAAGTATTTGCTCACCCATCCAAGCACCTAGGCGTGCAGATTGTTTGTCCAAACATTAGGATCTCAGTGAATTCCAGTGAGATAGAAGTCCACCTGTGCAGTAAAACCAGCTGTGTAATGTCCTCCCCTCTAAATATTTGTGGTTGGGATATTTAATTTGGCCATGAAGAGGTAAACCAAATAAACAGAGCTCAGTAGATGCTGAGGCCCATGGTGCACAGACGTCTCCAACTTTCTGCAGAGTCGACTGCTATAGAACTTCCAACGTGGGCTTCAGATTAGCATGAACAGAGCTTCAGGGAATGGGTTACCAAGCCACACAATGAAAGGAGCAAAGCACGGGATGCAGGGATGTAATGCTCTCCATTTCTGGGCTCTAGAACAGTAGAGCCGATCCTCTAGAAATGAATCACGCTTCCCTATTTGGCAATCCAATAAACCGGTCTGGGTTTGCTGGTAACCAGGAGAAAAGTCTTCCTTTGATTGTGTTCGTTGTGGAGGGGCGGGGGGGATATGTTGTGTTTTCAGGAGCTGGCCTGACACTTTTACTTCCAATAAATGTTCAGCATGAACTTTTTTAACAACTCGATGTTCCCAACTATGTGGTAACAGTTTTTAGAAGGCCTCTTCCAACATGGCTGCACAAAGCAAGGTCTGTAAAAACATGGGTGAGGCAGTGTGACGTGGGTGACCCTGACCTTTCTGCACAGTCCTGACTTCAACGGAGCATAACCTTTCGGATGATGACCAAGAGACTGGGCTTCTCAGACAACATCAGTGTTTACGCATATATACTCAACAAATAGTGCAGGTGAAGCTCCTGCAGATGCGCTTATTAGCTGCTTCCTCAGGCTGCTGCTGTGTTACCGCATGGAGGGTAACTTCTTCCTGAGAAAACGTTACTGTCCATCTGCTCGCCATATATGAAGGATTTCCAATGGGCTGACTTTAATGCATTTAAGAGCGCAGAGGTGTCTGTCTGAAGGGGAAAATTTAACCTCTTAACATCCACCTCATTTTGGGTAATCCTCGCATATTTCACATACCCAAATGGAAAAGCAAATAACTTAGAAACTGTAAGCCTAAATTACATGTGAAATACATTATTAGAAACCTAACATCCCTTTAGTTTCCTAATATATAAATTAAAATTTGGTGACTAGAACACAGACCAACCTGCATCAGTTCAAACATGACTCAAAGTTGAGGTTTATTCTCTGAAATGATAGGTATTTTTTGAACAGCAGTAATAAAGATATTCTTGAGGTAAAAGCAGGTTTTATTGTATTATATTTGTTCTACATCATGTCAACCACAAATGCAGAAAATTTCAGAACTCTAGCCAAAGAGTTCCAGAGCTGTGGGGTATGAAAACTTTTGGTGTCAGCCTAGAGCTGCGTGCAATGGCTCCACCTGCTGGTAAAAATGTTACCGGTGGAATTTTATGCATTCTGAGTTATTACCCCCACTTATGGTTTTAAGAGTTTAAGGACCTTCAGCCATGTATGAACCTAATGGCTACATCAGCTAGAGGGGACGGAGGAGGGGTTATGATGATGATGCTGAGACATTTTATAACTTTTTCTCTAAAATTTCTTTATCTGTCTAAAAGTTGCACAGTGTTGCTTTGAAGGGGCAGGGCATTAATGAGGACATTCTGATCTCTAATGCAGCGAGTTGGTGATGAAACAAAGACATAAAAAATGCTCCTCATCAGGCGTTGGTTCTACAGAACATGATTACTGGGATCAGAAATGTTTTCCTGTTGCAGATGAACTCTTAACTTTCTATTTACTTTCTGTAGTTTAGTTTGGCTTCAAAAAGGATGGAATTTTTAAAGTTAATTTTGGGACCCAATGAGACCGGATGGATTTATCCACTGAAGCTTAAAACCCATAAACTGAAGACAACTTTCTTCTGGTTTTAATGCAACTTTAGACAGACGAGGATTTCATTTCAGCCATGGCTCTTTTCACCAACACTGATTACAACTGAATGTATTTTCTCTGCAGACAGCAAAAGTTGGAGAAGGTGATGGATCAGGAGGGTCTGGCTGATGAAGAGGTGAGGTCCTATAACAAAGCGTGGCTCAATGCACAGTCAGTGATTCTTTGACCTGATTGATCAGTAACTGAATCTTGAACAGATGGCAGTGGGGAACTTTAGGATTATAGTGTTGGTTTTTGATTAGTTTGATTCCTGTGGTCCAGTTAAATTTAAAGGGGAACTTCTTTTTTATTTTTTATTTTATTTTTTTACATTGGGCCCTTGATTTTATGTTATAACATTATGTTCCATATGAGTTTTGTGTCATTTGGAACTGTTACGAAGAGCGCTGCTTTGTTTTTAAAACATATAAATATAAAAAATATAACCGGGGATGTCTGGGGGACAGTGATTGGCCTACATGTTATGAATGCTGGCGTACCATAAAGAATAAATGATGAACAGTTTAGTTTGTGCCTTCAAGTCGTTGCCCATAGGAAGACGTTACCTGGAAATAACCTAACTGAATATTTTCAGAACGGCTCCATATGACACAAAACTCATATGGGTGGGTAGAACATGATGTTATAATGTAAAATCAAAGGCCCAATGTAAAAAAAAAAAAACTTTCCCCTTTAAGCTGTTGTAAAAGTTCCACAGTGACCTTGAACTCAGCGTGCCAATAACTGCATAAATGTAACCTTTCTAGAAATGCTTCTCTTGTTTTTCAGAAACGTATCCGGCGTTCTGAGCATGCACGGAAGGAAACAGAGTTTCTGCGTTTAAAACGCACACGGCTGGGCCTGGAGGACTTTGAGTCCTTGAAGGTGATTGGCCGAGGAGCCTTTGGAGAGGTAAACACTACAGGGATGGAGTCCCTGACAGGGATTCAAAGACTAGCTAATATTTACTAGAAAAGTCCCACAATGAGCAAACCAGCATGTAATCACTGAGGCTGCGTTCACACTGCAGGCCTTAATGCTCAATTCCGATTTTTGTGTTGCCGTTCACATTTCCAGTTGTATGCGACTTGTATGTGATCTCCTGTGTGAACTGCATTCATATAGTGTCCCGCATGCGCAGTAGAGGACGCAATGACGTCACAAGTAAAGGCTGATTTCTACTCAGAAAACAAGTCGTCTGCGTGTGCGTCACAGTGAATGCTAATGTGCCGTCGCTCCTGCTGCAGACACTCTGCTGCACCTCTCCAAAAATGTAGGTGACTGCAGACTGTGCAGGAGGCCTCTGATTGGTAAAACATCCACTCTACACTATGTATATTTCCTGTTTGGTTCCTTATCCGCTTGCTTTGTTTGTATGACAACCATTGTGGAAAACAACTCATGACTTTGGACCAGCTAGAAGAGCAAGGTGCGCGATAACGCTGGGTCCCTTTTTCCACCTGGATCCCCGCTTTTTTTGGCGTTCAGGTCGGACGAATGTTGTCACTCGTAGCATTTAAAAAGATCAGATGAGTATCGGTTATGACCTGGGTTGCATTGGAAAAAATCGGATCTATGTTGTTCAGACTGTCATAAAAAAGAAGAGCTACAGGGCGCATGTGAGCAAAAAATCAGATTTGGTTCACTTGAGGCTGCTGTGTGAACGATGCCTGAGGCTGATGAGCAGAACTGAAGGGTTTCAGTTTGTCACCTGCAGTTCATGTAAACCTGTTCAGGTTTCATGGTTCCCTCCTTGGATCCAAATCGCTGTTAAAATCCCTTCACTGCTGTAAATGTTGAGAACGTTTGTCGTCTGCACTGCATCCTGCTGAGCAGACACGTTTCTTAGATCAGTCGGGCTCGGCTGCAGCTGCTGTCTTTGCTTTGCATAGATTTTTGTTCTGAATCCTACATTAACACTTTCAGTAAAATGTCAGCATTAGGGCTCAAATAATGATTAGTTTGCAATCGAATAATCTGTCAATAATTTATTTTTTTGATTAATCCCTTAATAATTGGATAGCCAGATGTTCCATAAAGAAGACTTTTTACAAAATTAAAACAGGTGAAACTAATGCTATGTTCAGAGCGCAGGCAGCAGAAGCGGCAAAAACGCTCTTGCCTGATCCTTGTACAAGTTTAGTTTTGACGTGTGGCTGAAGCATCTTTGCTGCTCTTGCTGCGCATTTGAAAAGTGGGTCTGATGCGCGTTGGGCGGTACTACCCTATCCTTTCTTTGCCTGTAACAATGGCGGCTATATTTGCTGTTATATGTGGGTAAAAAGTAGTTTTAATATGTTTTTAAATAAGAAAGTCCACCTGAAACTTCATCTGTGCAGTCCGTTCATTCAGATCCTGCATTAAAATATTATTTCACTGTCGGAGCCGCTCAGACCCCTGTACACCGGCGGTGCTCTGTCTATGGGAATCCAGTTTAACACCAGCCTCTGGCCCAGTCGCTTGTTCGCCACAACTGGAAGGCCTTTTTCCTGTACGTAATCCAAACTGCAGGCATCAGAATAATAAAAATCGTACATATTTTGCCGACAGGCTTCGACATTTTAAGTTTATTTAAACGTTGATAAACTGTTTCTGAGGAGTGATCATAGCGCTCTGCATCAGCAGTGCTGTGTCTTGTCTCCCTGCCAGCTCACAGATCAGATTCTCTGATTGGTTGATAAGGCGCTTCAAACAGCAAAAGTTAAATTTGTCCAACTCCAGTAGCTGCTGTTTTTGTAGCGCATCACGCGCCTCAGATGCTCATGACGCGCTGCAGGACCTTTTGCTGCACCTTGATGCGGGTCAGCCATTAACTTTGCATTTAAACTGGCTGCTTCTGCTGCTTGCAGTCTGAAAGTAGCATAAAACTTTTTCATTTAAGGATTTCTAGATGGAGCGTATCCAGATGGAAAAGTTTTCTATCTTAAATGGAAATCTTTTTTTTTTTTTGTACAATTTTGGTATAATTACAGTTGCTCTGTCAGCTAAAGGCATATTTTATAGTCTCTACTCCAGTTTAACATTTAATCAATTACCAAATTAGTTGACAATTATTCAATAGTCAAATAACCACGATTAATCCGATGAATTGTTTCAGCCCTAGTCGGTATTTATTTAAAGGTGGATCCTGTGGTCTGAAAGGGCTACAGAGAATTCATGATCAGTGTGCTTCAGAGGGGAGAATTTCACTTCAAAATAAGAACTAAATCTGTCCTGTTCAACTCAGATATCATGCACTGAATTCAATTACATCAGGTTTATTTATCTTAAACTATGCTTTTTACTTGAATAAAACGATGCTGCCAAGTCAGACTGCACGATATTAGCAGATATAAACATTGGGACACTTAATGCCAGATCAGATAAACTTTAAAAAATGTTTTAATCTGTCGCTAAATGTGACGACTGTCCACACAGTGGATTCATTGTCCTGTCAGGTTTTCATTTAAAAAGGTCACTATGATCTGATGCTCATCTGGCTTCCAGCAGTTTTACTACTTTTTTAAATTCAACACTTTTTTTTGTGTGTTTAAGGAGAATTGTTGCTCTGATTCCAGGTTCGCTTGGTTCAGAAAAAAGACACCGGACATGTCTATGCCATGAAAATCCTCCGTAAAGCTGACATGTTGGAGAAAGAGCAGGTACACACACACACACACTAACAGAGCTATGCTCCCTGCATGTGTGGGACACATGTGAAGCTGTCCTGGTCTGCAGGTGGGTCATATCCGAGCTGAGCGTGACATCCTGGTGGAAGCAGACAGTCTGTGGGTGGTCAAAATGTTCTACAGCTTCCAGGATAAGATGAACCTCTACCTCATCATGGAGTTTCTCCCCGGAGGTAAAACTTTGTCCAAGTTCTTCATGTTTAATGTTGTTCCAAACAAAGTTCTCCCTAGAACCAATAAGAACAAGTCATGACGAAGACAGTCATCAGTCACAAAACTAAACCAAGGCCTTTAATGTTTTAGTGGTTTCATTTTTTTTTTTTTATTTCCTAACTCGCTCTGTGTCGTTTTAACTTATCATTAAAGGCACACCATGTAACTTTTTGCCACTAGGGGCGCTAGACCTGTAACTGCCCGAAAATAATAAATATATATGACTGTATACTAGGGATGGAACGGTTTTTGAAAACCGTCCGAACTGTTCGGTTCGACTGTCTCGGTTCGGTTCGCGTGTGTTGCATTTTTCCTTTAACAGGATCCCTTTCACGTTTTCTCTTTTTAGCCTCAGGAGGTTTTAACTTTTTTTCTTTCCTCATCCATGAGCAGTAGTAGAGCCGGCTGAAAAATAGTAGAGCAAAAGTGTTAGCTCCATTAATATATAGGAGTCTGCGGCCATAAAGCAATACGTTCTTCCAGGTCACGTCACCTGATCAACGACAGTGCGTCTTCTCCGAACTTACATAGTCGGTATTTTAAGACTGTTAAGCGCTGTATATTAGTAATCATTTGACGTAACTCTTGTGTCAACTCCGTAGGTCACAAAGATCGCTGTGTGTTTAAATAAAGTTCACTGACACATTAGGTTTGTTTTTACATAGTTGGTTGGGATCATTTTTACCCAGAACCATTTTGCTAACCTTTTTTTGGCCGATCAGCGGTATTTCAAACAAAACGAGTATCACTTAAACATAAGAGGAAGAGAAGCTTTTTTCTTTTGCAATTTGAAACAGAAAAACCAATGAAGGACTCATAAACAACTTCTTTGACCTGTTCCTGTTGCAGTTTCTACTAAATATTTATCTATTCTATCAACTGGGAGAAAATCTGTTATAAAATAAAAATCTTTTTAATAATGGCTACCTTTAATTATCTAAAACATGTTAAACTTAAACCCTTATCTGTCCCCTAAGAGCCAAATAAGGCATGTAGATGTGTAAATAGAGGCATATGTCATTTTCAAATGAACAAATAGATTTTTAAATTGCTAAATAAGCAGGAGTAAAGTTCTAATACCAGAGCAGTAAGGTTTTTATAGATGAAACGATGAAATAAGAGGTTTCATTTTTACAGCTTCAACCGGTGCTTTTTAAAGACCTGAACAGATTGGAGTGGCCTGATATAAAAATAACATGATTTAAAACATTATCTTTTTCACTTGGACCTCAACATTTAAAAGAAGATGCCTGCAAACAGAACCTGATTGGTTCTTTAATGCCCCATTTCCAATACCCAATGAAATCAGTTAACCATACCAATCTACTGTAGTACTGCTTTCTAGAGGTAAACAAGCAAATCAACATGGCGGCGCCCGAAACATTCAGGAAGCTAGGTTAAAATTGTGATATTTCGTTGTTTGTGAAGAGTCAGGCGAAGAAGGCAGCCTTTGGTGAATTTACTTGACAGAGTCGGCATTTGGGAAGTAGATACGACGATAGTCGGGGCTTACAGAAACAGGAAATGATGACAGATGTTGAGGTTCATCACACTGCTAAGCAGAATCATCACTGGAAATCATGTGGCACCGCAGGGAAGCTAGTATTTTTATTAATGCCTGAAATGTTCTGATAGCGCGGCTGACTGTAAGGAGATGACATGGTCTGCTCATGCGCTCTTTGTTATCTGAGAACTAAACCTGAACTGAACCACGCCGAGCTCTACTGATGAACTAGTTCCAGTTTAGCGCGGTTCGGTTGTGTCTGACAGCGGGCCGGTTCAGTTGTGCGTACCATTTACACTCAACAGTTACCTCGGTTATCGTGCTCGGACCGATCTCGTAACTCTTTCAAAAGCGTAGCGTAAATGGGACTTAAGTGTTGATTAAAGCTGGTTCTGATGTCCCGTCTGCTGCAGGAGACATGATGACTCTACTGATGAAGATGGACACACTGTCCGAAGAGGCCACTCAGTTCTACATCGCAGAGACGGTGCTGGCCATCGACTCCATCCACCAGCTGGGCTTCATCCACAGAGATATTAAACCTGACAACCTGCTGCTGGACGCCAGAGTGAGTCAGGCTAGAAGGCCGCAGTTTGGTCCATATACAGCTTCTGTTCACCAAAACTTTAGTGAAGATTGATAGTGTCTTAGATAAAATATCCTGTTGGATATTGTGGGGTTTGAATTAGGGCCGGGCAAGTTAACGCGTTAATTTCACGTTAATTCTTTAGACTATTAACGCCAACATTGCGCCTTAATGCGTGTTGCTTTTATTTTGTTAAAGTCTGTTGCTAACTGCTGCGTTATATTAGTTTGACTCTGGAACAGTAGGTAGCAATAATGCGCCAAGGACCTGGCTGTCAGGCCGCTGGCATTTCAGACAGAAGAAGGTAGAGCTGGCTGTTGCAAAACCCGAAAAGGAAAAAGCAAATCGCAGAAAAACCAAAGCAGACATGGAGAAGGGTAAAGCCGGGGTTTTTAAATGGCCATTTTCAGTTAGAGTACCTCCAGGCTGCGGATATGATAGAAACAAAGTTATTTGTAACCAATGTCAAGCTGAATTTTCCTATCACCGGAGCAACTGGAGCTTAAACTGTCACAAAAATGCCAAACACACTGTAGACATCTCCAAAAAAAAATTTATGAATCTGTGAGTGGAGTGAAGCCTCGGCAGACCACAGTTAATGCAATGTTTGGTAGAACTACTGATAAACAAAAGCAGGAGAAGCTCACCAATGCTATTGCAAAGTGGATAGCTACACACTGTAGACTGCTTATTGTTGTGGAAAATGTTGGTCTGAAAAAACATTGAGAATCGCAAGAAATGACAGCAGTTATGAAATGCCATTAAGACGCACCATCAGTCGAAGAATAAATGAGGGGACTAAAAGAGCTGCAACTTAACAACATGCGCCTGCAGCTGCTGTCACAGCAGACTACTGGACTTCGCTCGTTGTTAATAACTACCTCTGTGTTGTTGCACATTATATAGATGAGAAGTGAGGAGTGCTACATTCACAAGCTTGTAATGAAAACAAAAGGGCGGCATTTCGCTGAAATATATGCAGGACATTTCATTGAGGTTACACTTGTGTGGGGTAGCAACTGGTTTAGTAAAGAGGAATAAAAGAAACTCCTGTAAAACATGCACTTTATGTTCTAGTCCCATGTAGTCCCCCCCCCTTAAACGAACTGACCCATTTGTCCTGATTGTGGCTCCGGATTTTGTTGGTAGAGAATGTCCTGTCAGTGGCAATAAGCTTCAGTTTATATCACTATTATTATGTATTTTAGTTATAATAAAAAAAAATTTAAGTTTAAATTTACACAAAATGTTAAAAAAAAGTGCTGCTTTTAAATGTTTGCACAATAAATGTTATGGCACTTTCATTCATATGGCATAACATTGAAATAGAATTGCTCTTTATGCTAGTTTTGATTTCATGCTTTGAGTTTGCATATTCAATGCAATTAATCGCGATTAAACCGGCAAATAATGCGATTAATTGCGATTAAAGATTTTAATCTTTGCCCAGCCATAGTTTTATGTTAATAGAGGTTGTCTATAATTCTGCATCATCAATTTCTCCATCTGGAGGAGATTCCCTGAACTTTTTTTTTACCTTAAACTGGTCGTCTTCTGCGAAGGGCTGCTCTCTCAAGAATACTTGACCTGCACTGTCAGGAGTTTTTGTTGACCTGCACTGTGAGGGGACCTGCACTATCAGAACCGGAAGTTTATTCGGAGCCTTTCAAAGTAAAAGCGAAATAAAATAAAAGCTAGTATATCAGAAATATTTTACATAAATTTTTGTTTCCTGGGCTTCAAAATAGAAATATTGTCGTCTATTCATGTGTTTAATGATTTCTATATAATCTCTTTCCAGTTGAACTGGATAAAGTTAAAAATCGCAAGAAAATGTCAAAACAAAATTAAATTGGTTGTTTTATAAATACGTCTCTTATGTGTGTCTGTAAGTATATCATTTTTATTCTTTTTGTATTGTTTGTGTATTAATTTGCCAATGGAGGATGTCTGATTTAACTCTGTGTTCTTACAGTGAATTACTGAATACCTAGATGCATGACCAAAATAGCCAATACCTTGTTTTTTTATTTTTATTTTTCCCATGACACTGAAGAAAACGCTAGACACAAACAACCTTTCAAATGTTTATTTTCTTGAAAACGTTTTTATTGTCAAAACGGCAGATTTCCCAGCATGACGTGCAACGTTTGACTTTTGGTTAAGTTCCAGCAGGAATCACATTAAAACATACGTCTGTAAGAGACAGATTATATTGGAATAAGTAAAAGAAACTCGCCCGACAATTATGATAAAACACTGTTTTCTTGGTCTTTAAGTGGGGAAAAAGGCATATTTGTGAGCACTCGCCTCGCAAAAAAATCTGTCTTCTTCTAATAAAATCTGGCAGTGCATACCTGCTGCAAGCTATTCCTGAAGGCTTCGATTCAAATGGAATAAATTTCCATTCCTGACGGTGCAGGAGGCCGCATTATGCAGGTTATCAGTGAAGGGTCCTAACCCTGCAGGTCTGCAGGCAAGGCCCTCTGGAATTACAGGACAGGTATGGCTGGAAATATTTCAGGCATTCAGAGTCTGAATGAATGGTATGTAAATGACATGACATTTTTAGCCGCATGTCGTCATTCAATCGCTGGTTGTCTAGGTGGTGCCCTGAAAACAACGTGGGCTACATTAATAATTGGCAATCCTTTTGGGGAAAGCCTGGTCTGATTCGGAGAGACGGCATCCATCCCACTTTGGATGGTGCAGCTCTTCTTTCTCGGAATCTGGCCACATTTATTAGTCCTCCAAAACCCTGACCACCCAGGGTGCAGACCAGGAAGCAGAGTTGTAGTTTAACACACATCTCTGCAGCTTCTCTACTGTTACCCACTCTTTACTCCATCCAGACAGTGTCTTGCCCACGACCAAAATCTAATAAATTAGCAAAGATTCCCAAAGGAGTAAATCATGATAATCTAATTAAAATCAAAATAACTCCAATTGGGGAAAAAGTTAAAACAATTAAATGCGGTCTGTTTAACATAAGATCGCTTTCCTCTAAAAGTCTACTAGTTAATGACTTGATTTGTGATAATCACATTGACTTGTTTTGCCTTACAGAAACCTGGCTGCAGCAAGAGGATTATGTGAGCATAAATGAGGCAACTCCTTCAAGCTATTTAAATTTTCACATCCCCAGAAGTTCTGGGCGAGGAGGAGGAGTAGCAACAATCTTCGAGTCTGACTTACTGATTACTCCCAAAACAATTAAATCCTACAACTCTTTTGAACATTTAACCCTTAATTTCCCTGATCCAAATTTCAAGGCAAGAAAACCTCTTCTTTTTGTAACTTTGTATCGTCCACCAGGTCCTTACTCTGAATTTTTAGATGAGTTTTCAGAGTTCCTTTCTGATTTGGTATTAAATACTGACAGGGTCATCATAGTGGGAGATTTTAACATCCATGCTGACATTGAAGGCGATAGCTTAAGAGCAGCCTTTAATGCTATCTTAGACACTATTGGCTTTGTTCAAAATGTGAATAGTCCCACGCATTCTCATCTTCATACTTTGGATCTTGTGCTGACATACGGCATAGAATGTGAAGAAATAACAGTATTTCCTCACAACCCTGTCCTCTCTGACCACTTTCTAATAACCTTCAGGATTACTTTAACAGAGTTCTCCTCCCCCAAAAGAAGGTTCAATTTTAGTAGATCTTTATCAGATAGTGCAGTTATAAATTTTAAAGAATCTGCTTCACTTTCTCTCTCCTCTGTGTCACTGAGCAGTGCTGCAGAGTGCAAAAGCTTAGCTTATTCCCCTTCACAGGTTGATGATTTTGTTGATGGGGTTGCTAGTTCTCTGCGTATTGCCTTAGACAACGCAGCTCCTTTGAAAATGAAAACCGTTAAAAATAGAAAGCTTGCTCCTTGGTTTAATGCAGAGCTGCATACTTTGAAGCAAAATGCTAGGAAACTGGAGAGAAAATATCGCTCCACAGGCCTGCGAGAGTCCTTCCTAGTCTGGAAAAATGGTTTACTGCTGTATAAGAGGACCCTTTGTAAAGCAAGAGCAGCATACTTCTCCTCATTAATAGAGGAGAATAAGAATAATCCTAGATTTCTTTTTAATACAGTTGCCAAACTCACCCAGAGCCATAGCTCTGTTGAACCGTCCATTCCACCTGCTCTTAGCAGCAATGATTTTATGGGATTCTTTATAAATAAGATTGATCTTATTAAAAATAAGATCATAAGCACTCCTCTATCCGCGATTGTACCTGAGGTAGTCATGGAATCTGAACCGGGTTTAGACTGCTTTGATCCAGTTGAACTCTCTGAATTAGCAAAATTATTGTCTTCATCTAAGCCTTCAACTTGTATGTTAGATCCAGTTCCAACCAGGTTATTTAAGGAGGTATTCCCTTTGATCTCCTCCTCCATTTTAGATGTGATTAATCTATCTCTGTTACAGGGATATGTACCTAAAGCTTTTAAGATTGCTGTAATTAAACCTCTGCTTAAGAAACCGTCTCTTGACCCAGATGACTTGGTCAATTATAGACCTATATCCAATCTTCCTTTCTTATCCAAAATTCTTGAGAAAGTAGTTGCCAAACAAGTTTGCGATCACTTCCACCATAATGAACTTTTTGAAGAGTTTCAGTCTGGCTTTAGAGCTCATCATAGCACTGAAACAGCTCTGGTGAAAGTCACTAATGATATTCTCATGGCCTCAGATAATGGACTTGTATCTGTGCTCGTCCTGTTGGATCTTAGTGCTACATTTGATACAGTTGACCATAATATTCTTTTAGAAAGACTTGAATATTTTGTTGGAATTAAAGGAACAGCACTAGACTGGTTTAAATCTTATCTATCTGATCGAATTCAGTTTGTTCATGTTAATGATAGATCTTCAACACGCTCAAAGGTTACCTGTGGAGTACCACAGGGATCAGTGCTAGGACCAATTCTCTTTACTTTATACATGCTCCCAATTGGTAGAATTATTAGACAGCATGGGATTAATTTCCACTGTTATGCTGATGATACCCAGCTATATCTGTCTATAAATCCAGATGAAGCTAACCCATTACATAGATTACAGGCATGTCTTGAAGACATAAAAACCTGGATGACTTAATTTTCTGCTTCTGAATGCAGACAAAACAGAAGTTATAGTCTTTGGACCAGAGTCTCTGAAAAAGAAACTGATTAGCCAGTCACTTCATTTGGATGGGATTAAACTGATTTCAGATAATAAAGTAAAAAATCTTGGTGTTATTTTTGATCAGGACCTGTCATTTAAATCCCATATCAAAGAGGTTTCTAGAATTTCCTTCTTTCATCTGAGGAACATTGCAAAAATTAGAAATATCCTGTCCAGGGGTGATGCTGAGAAACTAGTCCATGCATTTGTTACTTCAAGGCTGGACTATTGTAATTCTTTACTATCAGGAAGTCCACAAACTGTAGTTAAAAGCCTTCAGCTGATCCAAAATGCTGCAGCCAGAGTTCTAATGAAAATGAAAAAGAGAGATCATATCTCTCCTATCCTGGCTTCTCTTCATTGGCTTCCTGTTAAATCAAGAATAGAATTTAAAATCCTCCTTCTCACATATAAAGCCTTAAATGGCCAAGCTCCATCTTATATCAGAGATCTGATTGTTCCTTATGTTCCTAACAGAGCACTTCGCTCTCAATCTGCAGGTTTACTAGTGGTTCCTAGAATTTCTAAAAGTAGAATGGGAGGCAGATCTTTTAGTTATCAGGCTCCTCTCCTGTGGAACCAACTACCAGTTTTAGTCCGTGAGGCAGACACCCTGTCTACTTTTAAGGCTAGGCTTAAAACTTTCATTTTTGATAAAGCTTATAGTTAGGGTGGCTCAGGTTATCCTGAGCTATCTCTATAGTTATGCTGCTATAGGCTTAGACTTTTGGAGGACATAGGGACCCCCATTTCATCATTCTGCTTCATTCTCTCTCTGTTCTCCTATTCTGCAGAATCTGTTAGTTCAATCTCTAACCTTCTGCTCTCTCTGCTTTTCCTCAGAGTAGCTTTGCCTCGTCTGTTCCTGTTTGGCTGTGACGTCATCCTGGAAAAAAACATCAGCTGTGCTGCTTCTATCAACACCCTTGTTAATAGATGTTGGAGATCGGCCTGTTTTCCAGTGTGGTCCTGTTTCTCTGACCGTGACTGAGTGGATGTGCTCTCTTCGTCCTCTGGCATGGGAGCTGCCTTGGAGCTCGTCTGCCTGGCTGTGTGTTTCCTGGACGGGGCCGCCTTTTACAGCTGCTTTTTGTATCTCTGCTTCTGTCTCCTTGAACCCCAGTCGGCCTCGGCAGATGGCCGCTCACACTGAGCCTGGTTCTGCTGGAGGTTTCTTCCTGTTAAAAGGGAGTTTTTCCTCTCCACTGTCGCTACAAGCATGCTTAGTGTGAGGGATTGTATTTGAGTCAATGAGTCAATGCAATCAACTGGTTTTCCTTAGATAGAAAACTTTGTATCAATTTGACTGTATGATCTGGTTGAACTGTAAAGTGCCTTGAGATGACATGTGTTGTGAATTTGGCGCTATATAAATAAACTGAATTGAATTGAATTAAATCATCAGCAAACTTTTTATCTGCATGATGCTGACAGGGATATAATGGAACCGTCATAAAGAGCAGCTGCTGAATTTGTTGTTTGATTTCAACCTTATGGATACATTTTTTTTACATGGATACATTTTTTTTTTTTTTTTTTGTCTCAGGGTCACGTGAAGCTCTCTGACTTCGGCCTGTGCACAGGACTAAAGAAGGCCCACCGCACAGACTTCTACAAGAACTTGAACCACAGCCTGCCCAGTGACCTCAGTAAGCAAAGTCAGGCACCATTTTTCTTTTATTCAGCCGCCGACGCCGCCGTCTGCATGCATCTGCCGCTAGCTTCCACGCTTGCTGCTTTGTTTCTGTGAGTTTGTAGTGCAGCGGGTGTTGGGTGGTCCCACATGTCTGCTCGAATACACCAGCATCCTAAAGCTGACTCATCTCATCAGTTCACAGCCCAAAGCTGCTAATCAGATTGAGGTTTGTTCAGTGAGAAAAATCTAAAATACGCCAGCTTCCAAGGACCAGGAAAGCCTGCGCCTGTTTGATGTTAGCCTCACCAGTGGTTCACACCCGTGGTCCTTAGGGACCCCGGCCCTGCATGTTTCAGCACATCTGATTCAAAGGAGGGCCCTGCAGGACAGTGGTCTCCTAGGGAACAGGGTTGGGAACCACTGGCCTAACCCGTAGAACTCGTTAGCTTACTTGCTACTGGGCAGCATTGCTCAAGCAGGATGGAGCTGATGGCCTGTTTGAAGCTGTGACATAAGCTTTACCTTCCTCTCCTCAATGCATGGCTGCTTCATTAGCATTTCTGTGAAATGAACATCAGGATTGTTTTCTCGTCTCTCACCAATGTTATATATTTCACTGATGATGTTCCCCTAAAGGCCTGAAGTCACCGGTTGCAAATGACTTTAATGTCAATAGGATTTTTTTTCCCATGTCACAATGACACAATCACAATCAAGATCAATGCGTATAGAGAGGCCCCAACTAGGCAGGGTGGGAGATTCTTTCCACTTCTGTCTCTGCTATACACAAACAATTTCCCACATCTGAATTGGACATATTACGAAAAGTAAAAAAAAAAAAAGAATAAATAAAAAAATAAACATCGGCGGGTTCTATAAAGCAAAGCCTCACTTAACAAGTCTGTGCAGCATCTAAAACCAGAACAGATAGAGAATGTTCGTATATTAAAAACATAATGAGATCCACGTCTAAAGAAAAGAAAAACGCAACAATAAACGCTGTGGGACAGTTTCTATTCTGACTGAGGCAGAGAGGTGACTCTCAGAGAGACGTCTGGGAACTTTATCCAAGTTTTTCTTTTTCTTCATAAAGAGATGAAAGAGATTCGCCCCACTTCCCTGCTCTGTCTGCTCCTCATTTTTGTTTTTTTGTGAGACCCAAAGAGGATCACTACTATATCCGATTTTTCTCCTGGAGTTAATTCTTTTCAAGGAGATCGATGAGATGTGCTCTCTGTCCCTCATTGTTTTTGTGAGGCTCAAAGAGAATCACTACTTTATCCGTTTTCTGTCCTCCTGGACTGTCATGGGTAAAGTTTTATTTTTTATGTTTTATTTATCGTTTTTGCACGAGTTTGTCCCGCTTACTACTGTATGTAAACGATGTGCGACTCCAAAACTAACTTCATTTGTCCAGAAACAATTTTTACTTGCCCAGTATAATGTTTGATAAATATAGTTCCTAATATTCATTTTTTTTATATATATCAATGAAACATGTTTGTTTTTTAAATGTTTTTTGTAATTCAGTATTTTTTAAGTTTCCAGGTTCCTGGTGTGTATCTGCATGCGTCAGATAATGAACTCAAGCCCACATTACCGTGTTAACATGCTTTTCAATCCTTCCTGCACATTCTTTTCAAACTAAACTTTGCTTGAAACTGTTGTGTTCTTGGAAAAATATAAATTGTAATGTTAAAAATCTAAAAAAAAACAACTGGCAGGGTAAAAACTTAAGATAAATCACAAGACAGAAGTCAATGTCACAAATGAATAACTTTTATTTTAGAGTCAAGGTATGTTTATAGAAGATAATACTATTAATATAATGTGACTTTTCTAGAGAATCATTATCGTAGTTATTTTATACAGGGTTTCCACAGTCTTACATCATTTCAGAATTTCCTGACTTTTAACTGACTCAGGATTAGTTTTCCCTGACAAAATAAAAGCAGCAACAAGACAATAATAATAACATAACAGGTCACCAATTTAACATGTTTAGCTCTATATCATTTAAATGCTCCTCTCCAATGTCTAAGAGGAAAAAAAATTGAATGAACATTTTTTAATGTATGACCTGCATCACTGTACAGAAGACTGCCATATGATAGCTCTTTCTAGCTTGTTTGTCGTTTTGGTAACTACATCAAAATTACCGCTAGGTGGACAAAAATCATAGCCTGACGTAGTCCGACTCAATTCTAGTCAGAATATGAGTCTGTTGCTGCTCCATAGAGCTGTGATTATGGGGCGTGTTTCGAACGAACCAGGAAAAAAAATGCCTCTGCACTCAATTGGATAGACCTACAACCAATAAGAGCAAATGAGTGCGTGACGTATGTTAAGCGAGGCATAGTTGTTGTCCACAAAAATCAAAGCGTGCAGTTTCACGCCTAGAATAAGAAGATGAGACTTGATCGCGTTTCTCTGTTCCTCTTTTAAAATTTATTTGCTGTCGATATCTTCTAGAACAGACCTAATAGCAGAATCTACTCACCCAAACTCTCCAGCGGCAGCCATTATTGTTGTCACCCTAGCGCGCTTTGGTCACGTGGTTGATTACGTTACTCTTGATCATCTGTCCATCATCGTATAAAGCCCGCCCTGACAATTTGATTGGATCGCCTGACAGTGGGCGATGATACTCGCGCTACTATGGAGCAGAGCCAGACTGAACTTCCCCGAACTCAAACCTTGTGGGCGGGACTAAGTTTTGACTGGCACCCAGGCTACAAAAATCACGCCATCTGGCGGAAAATCACTGGGCATTTTTCAAATCACAAGAGAATGTGTACAAAACCACAAAAATGGCGTCGGCAATGCTTCTGGGTCGTTTTCATCGAATGTTGGTGATTTTAAAGTAATTTTGAGTGGTAAATAATTTCTTTTTGCGATCATTGCACTTGCCTGGCAGGCAAATGCAATGAAATTTGTAATCTCCAGACAATAAAAACGACTTGCCCCGGGGCGATCGGGCGATGGTTAACATCGAGCCCTGCATGAGGTCTATCTCAGTCAGACCTGTGCAACCATATCAGGTGTGATCATCACCAATGGCTTTAAATGAGTGCTAAACGCCACAACCTCTTCCGACACGATTTTCTGTCTGATCGGACACAATTGGATTCAGTGTTCTGGCCTGAAGTGAAGCTTGTAGCGAAGATTCTACAAGCCGCCAAACGTCAGCAGATGGGCGTCGCTGTTAGAAGTGAACCTTGCATGAATCAAGTGAAGGGACTGGAAGCAGCTTCCATTAGATGCCGTCTAGCTGAGGTTTCTATGCTGATCATCTAGTTTTGGTTTGAATGTGCAGATCTAAGCCTGCGGTGTTCTGGGTCCAACTGCTGGTTCTGAAACAAACTACTGATTCTGTTTACTTTCTTAAAGCTATTTTTATAGTCAGCTGTAGGAATAACTATCAAATTAAACATTTTCGAGAGCCCAACAGCAGAGCAAAGAGGAATCTTTTAAAGATGTTTTTATCTGGTGCTTAATAAGTTAGAAATCCTTATCTGTGTTTTTCCAACAGCCTTTCAGAATATGAACTCTAAGAGGAAAGCAGAAACCTGGAAGAGGAACAGGAGGCAGCTGGTAGGTCTGAACTCGACTCTCGCTGCAACTCATTTGCATTTTGGTTACATGTTACAGGAAGTGGCACTTTGAGCTGATGACTGTCATGACAAGACTGCACACCTTTTTATTAAACCTAATTTATCTTCTTTTAAAGAAACCAAAGCACAAATTGTCTAAAACTGAACAAAGAAGTGTGTGGTCTTTAAAATTTAATCTCACGTCTCATCAGAGTTGGTTGATTGCTGTTTAGTTTAATCTGGCTGTAAATCCCTATTTAACAAACTGCAGATTTTCATTAAACCAAGAATGGAGTAAAAAAGTTCATTTCAAGGTTTATCCACATTTACTGTTTAAACTGCAGTGTTAATAACCACAGTTATCAGTGAGATTAGTCTCTAGGGCTGAAACAATTAATCAGATTAATCGATTATTAAAATAATCAGCAACTAATTTAATCAATTAATCCTTAACTGAAGTGTAGAGACTCTTAAACATGCCTTTAGCTGACAGAGGGACCCACTTAGAGCAGTAAATATACCAAAATTATAACAAAGAAATATCTAAACATTTTGCATTTTAGATTAAAAAATAGTTCGACCATTACACTGCAAAAACAATCCAGAAATAAGTAAAAAATGGCTTAAATTAAGTATATTTTGCCTTAATTTGAGCAGGTAAATAAGATGATTTGCCAATGGAATGAGTATTTTCACTCTTAAAATAAGATAATTAGATAATATTTACTTGAAATAAGACGATAAAATAGTTTTTTCTTATTTTAAAAGGAAATTGTCTTGTTCCATTGGCAAAGTGTCTTACTTATCTCCTCAAATCAAGGAAAAACACACTTATTTTAAGAAAAAATTACTTATTGAGATTTATATTTTTTGCAGTGTATGCTCCATCCAGAACTCCTCACTTAGAAATAATATAATATTTAAGTCTTCTTTGAGGAACCTTTTGTTATACGATTATAAATGGATTCATTGAAAAAAACAATTGACGGATTAATCGATTTGCAAAATAATCGTTAGTTGCAGCCCTAAACGTCTGAGTCAATACGAAGCTCCAACATATAGTTTCTACAGCCAGGGCTTATTTCAGCCAGTGCCACGTCTAGACAAACATGCCTGTGTTGCTATGGCAACATTCTTTAAAATAGAAAGTTTTATCACGGTCGATTCTGCAGCGTTCCCACCACTAATATTAACGTAGAGCCTCTGTGAAACTGGTCGTCTCGCATTCCTTCAGACACCGGCTTAAAGCTTTGAACGGCTTCTTTGTAGTAAGTAGGTGCTGTAATGTCAGGATGACCCAAGTTCCCACTTGGTCAAAGTAAAATCTGAAGGCCACAAAAGATCAAAACGATTGTTTTGATTCCTTTACTCTGAGGCATAATCCCTCAAGATGAAGCTGAGCCTTTGCAGCCAGAGAAACGATTTATTCCACATGTAAAGCAGAGTGCAAATCATTAAAATAAGGCACAGATGAACCACTGAAAGCAATCAGCTGGAGCATCTCTTGTCTCGCTGAAGCTTCATTAGATCAGCTAACACAGAGTCTCTGGATGATGCTGCTTTTAAATGACTGAATGCTTTCTACTCTATAGGGATTCAATAGTCCCATTTCCACCACCGTGTGGAAAACCGATCCGTGCCGAGTTCGGACCGAGCTTGGATCAGTCAGCCGTGCCGAGCTTGCTTCCTTACGACCGTTTACACATCACGCTAGCACGGTTCCTCGCCTCCTAGTGGCGATGTACGGTGCTACTGCTCTCTAGTGGGAAACAAGCAAACCAACATGGCGGCGCCCGTAACGTTCAGGAATTTTGGTTATAATTGTTATATTTTGCTGTTTGTGGAGAGTCAGGCGAGGAAGGCAGTCTTAGGTAAATTTACTTGACAGTCTGCTTATGGGAAGCGGATACGACAAACGATAGTCTAATCGGGGTGTACAGACACGGGAAATGACGGGAGTTGAGGAGTTGAGGTTCATCACACTGCTAAGCAGAATCATCACTGAAAATCGTGTGGCACAGTAGAGAAGCTATTATTGTTATGAATGTCAGAAAGGTCATGATAACAGAGGCTGACTGTTAGGGGACGGCGTGGTCTGCTCACGCATGCTTTGTTATCAGACAACCGAGCCAGAACTGAACCACGCCGAGCCCTGGCAATGAACTAGTACCAGTTTAGCGCGGTTCGGTTGTTCTGGCGCGGTCCAGCTCGTTGTGCGTTTACACTCAACAGTTACCTTGGTGTAAATGGGACTAATACCTCCTCTTATGGTGTCTTTGCTCTCAGGCCTTTTCCACAGTGGGAACCCCAGACTACATCGCTCCAGAAGTCTTCATGCAGAACGGCTACAACAAACTGTGTGACTGGTGGAGCCTTGGTGTGATAATGTATGAGATGCTGATAGGTAATGTCGGAACAGTCTCTGCTTTCTTTACCTTGTTGGTGGGTTTTTGGATCGGACGTGAAGACTAAACGGTTTGATAACCTCGCTGCTCCAGGTTACCCTCCGTTCTGCTCGGAGACGCCTCAAGAGACCTACAGGAAGGTGATGAACTGGAGAGAGACACTCACCTTCCCTCCAGAAGTGCCAATATCAGAGAAGGCTAAAGACCTCATCCTCAGGCAGGAGAACAGAGCCTCTACTATGATTTGTCCAAATGTCTCATAAAAACATGTCGGTAATAAACCTCATTTGTTTTGTGCAGGTTCTGCTGTGAGGAGGAGCACAGGATTGGAGCTGCGAGTGTGGAGGAGATAAAGTCCAACCCTTTCTTTGAGGGCGTGGACTACGACCATATCAGGTGAGCAGTTTGACTCTGAAGCTGGAATAAAGGAGCTCGTCTCCGTCCCATTTCCCTGACCTCTCTCCTGGGTCCTGCAGGGAAAGACCCGCCGCCATTCCCATCAATATCAAAAGCATTGATGACACATCCAACTTCGATGAGTTCCCCGACTCTGATATCCTCACTCCAACAAGTAAGCCCCACCCCCCGCCATTTTGTGGTTACCACCTCCAGGATTATTCAGATTAAAATATTTAATTCCTCCTTTTTCTTTTTCTTTTCTTCAGCCACCCAAGTGTCCAATCACACCGAGACGGATCTGAAGAACAAGGACTGGGTCTTCATCAACTACACCTACAAACGTTTTGAGGGTTTGACGGCCCGAGGAGCCATCCCGTCCTACATGAAATCAGGAAAAAGATGAGCTCCTTGTGACTGTCCCATAGCGACGCCCAGATGAGGCGTCCGAGCTGCTGCTGTGTCCAAACAGACGTCCGCTCGGTTATCAGAGCGGATCCACAGCGCAGCTCTTCCTCATCGTCGCTGTCCATAGGAACCTTCCTCCAAACTCGCTGCCTTCACTTTGTTTAAAGCTTCTGAGGGTACCTCTTCACTTTCTGACAGCACAGACTGAACTGGGATCAGCAGGTTTTCTTAGTTTTGCACCATCGGATGGTATCGTTTGTCTCCAGATAACCAGCATCATTTACATTCCCTCTCTGTACCAGCGTCATTCTGTTGGATCTACCAAGGGCTCTTCTTGTGGCCCAGAGCGTTCTCTGCTTCACGCGTTCTGGGGACTTTATCAGCTCAAATAATTGCATTTTCACTTGGAGTGAACCAGCTGCTCTTCAGGGATTCGGACTCCTACATCATCTCACCAAAGACTCAATGACATCTCTGCCTGATCTTCCTCTTGGAACTTTTTCTAACTCCAAGTTCGTATTTTTTCTAGAGCCCAGATTTGCACGATTTCCTCTTTAACAGATGATTATGCATTTTGTGGAACAAGTCTTGTTACATTTTGTGATGAAGCATGTGACCTTCAGCACCAGAGGCGATGGGGATGAAACTTCTGCACTCTTCCAGCCTGTCGGATCCGGTTTAGGTTCAAGTGTTTGGAGTTCATGATGTTCCAGAATCAATTTTCAAAGACGACCTTTTAACAATTTGGTGGATTTCACACATAGTTTAAATCAGGCAGCAGTTAAAATCTTCAGGAAGTTGAAGGCGCTGCTATAAATATAAGAACGTCTTTAAATTGCTTTTATTTTTTATGTTGTAGTCCGAGTGAGATAAAGTTTGCAAATCAAAACAGAAATTTGAAAAATATTCCAAGAATATTTCTTAAATTCTTAAATTTCTTTATCAAAGACAACAGATCCCAGAGCAGCTTGTAGAGAACTGAATTAGTTTAGGAGATTAAACGGCTTAGAAAGCCGCAGTACGCGTAGGAAACCTTCCAGCTGATGCTTTTCAGACGAAGAACTAATAAAACCTGCATAAGGCTCAGATGTGAACCTCTGAACTCACTGGGAGGATTTGTAAGAATGGTTTCAGTTTGATCAGTTCAGAAATGGCTAATTGGGGCTGAGAATACTTTAAAAATCATTAAGTTTATAAGTTGATTGACCAAAAACTAAAGAGAGGTAGTGTTAGGATCCAGGCTGACCCTAACACCACCTGAGTCTTAACCCGAGGCCGTGCCGCTCGCAGCGGGGCTGCGTTCGTTCAGGAAACCCAGGAATTAGCTGAGGTCCGATTGTGCTGAAGCGTCAGGGAGTCTTTTAGTTTCACCTGTTTTTGTTTCCGAGGAAGCTAACCTAATGATGCACCAACTAATGCAGTGGATGAGTTTTGTTTTTATTTGTTTTAAGTAGCAAAGGGCTGAAAACTTTCCAACAATAAATCCAAGATGCTGTCCTATTTACAAATGAATGTAAATTAATTTCTTCAGATTGATTTCCTTTTTTTTTTTTTTTTTTTTTTTTTTTTACCCATAGGAGTTTAAATATGTTGCTGTAAATGAAGCCTGTACCACGTATTTTTTTAAATTTTCTTTGTAGTTGGACACTTTAAGCTATGATGTAAAACACCCTGGAAGCCCATTTCTGCCTGGAGACACCAGCAGACCTTTATCACCAAAAGATTTTATTTAACGTGTCAAATGTTTGACTTATTCTTTTTTTTAGCCCCTTTAAAAAGTGACAAAGAAAGCCAAATGCTTAGAAGTCGACAATCTGAAATCCCAGGTTACGTAAAGAACGAACTTGAAGTGACCGGCTGCAGAAATGTATCTTTTATTCTGATTTCCAACATTTTTTATTTTTAAATCTCTCTCCTGTCCAGCAGGAATGGTCTTCCATATCGGCTGCGTCTGTGATCGAGTGTGTTCAGGTAGCGTGTAGATGGGAAGCAGCACATTATACTACGTTTTAGAGAAGCATGTGGCGGGTGGAGCTTTTATTTAATTATATATATATATATTTTTTTTAAACTGCTTGTGCCGTTGAGGGGCCACGCTCCTCAGGCTTTAACAAAACGGCAACATGTACGCTGAAAGCAATACAACATGGAGTGATTTCTGATCATGTGTGGCTGAGATTCTAGTCTCTGGGTTAAGATGGGGTGTCGATTTGTATGGAGTTTGTGTTTATTTTTTTTGGGGGGGGGGCAAAAGTGTGCATGTAATGCTGCATCTGAGCAGGACGGATGGGATTATTTGGGAAGCTGAGTGTACAATATTTAAACTGCTTGGTATGTACTGTGTGACTGCTGTATTGTTTTCTGCTATTTGACAATGAATTATTCTGCACTTAATGTTGCCTCATGTCTTCATTCGGGGGGGGGGGATTTATGTGACTGGAGAATCTAATATACCTTTTATTTGATCATTAAGCTATTCAAGAACCTTGATTTTGATTCAGGAACTTCCTGAATTTTAGTGGTCCAAGTATCATTAAAATGATCCAACTTAGAGACTCCAAGGTGATGAATGCAGGAATTATGACTGTTTGGCCTCGTATGGGGAGGGACTGGAATGATGAGCAGTATTTGCATGAAGCTAGTCGGTAGAGGGAAGCAAAATGTTCTGATGTCCTGGTGGATGCCTGTGAACCGGCACCATCAGATGACATGGAGCCTCAAATCATCTCCATCTGGAAACTTCACCAGTTACCTCTAAACTCTTAGAGTCTGAACAGAATAAAAATATCTTTTTAAGTCCAATCGGGAAAAACAAACTCATTTCAACGTTTTATATTGAGCTGTGCAGCAGTAGATAAAAAAAAAAGGAAATGTAGTGTGCAGTTTATTTAAAAGTCATTGTAGGAGCCAATCATCCTTTGGTGTTTGTCGCCACCAGGGGGCGTATTTAATTTTTGAGTTCTGAGTGTCTGATGAGGGGATGGGTTATTTAGGGTCAACCATCAATTCTGTTCAGGTGTGGTTAATAGGCTGAGGCAAACAGTTTCCTACTGTGCTTGGTTGGATTTATGTTGAATTTATGTGGATCTTGAAGGAAAACAGTAAGATAATGGACTTGTGCTGAAAATAAATGACTTTGTTTCATGTCAAACAGAAGATCGGCATTCTAAATCTTACTTGAGCGCACGTAAAACCATGCCTTCCAACAGAAACCACCAGTAGCCTAAAATATGGGATTTTAGCCGCTATTTTCAAGTGTAAATGAGAAATGTTCAAGTTAAAGAAAAAAATAACTTAAGTGTCTGAAGTGTTAGGTCTATGCATGTGTCATATTTCCAATCAAATCATCTTGGCTAATTTCTAAGACTATTATCTGTGATAGTTGCCAAAGCATCCAGGGCACAAAGGTACAACACACTGCATGCAGATGTACTTGGTTGTTCTTGACCAAGCAGCATCTTTGCATCTGTTGGTGGTTTTTGCTTCCTTTAACTGTGGCCGGTGGTTTCTGGGTGAGGCTTAAACACTGCTGGTGGTGGAGTAGAACTTGGTCACCCCTGCTGGGTATCATCAGGGATCCTGTGTGGTTAAGAGTACGAACTCTTGGCTCCTTGGAATGCAGCAGATCTTGGCTTCATTTCAAGACATTCTATAAAGGAGCCAGGCCTTCATTTATCAGATCATGGAAGTGAAAGAACAGTCTGATGTACCAGCGTTTGTTTCTGCGTTGGTGAGGATACATGGCAACACATTGATCCATGAGCTCTACTCCACCCATATGCTGCACTGTAAAAACAATCTAGAAATAAGCTCAAATGGTGATGATGTAAGCAGACCAAAACCACAGATGCCTTTGAGACGAATCAACTGCTGGAAAACTGATGCGGGCAACCCGGCCCTCTGTCAAACACCTTTAAAACTGATGCGCTGAAACTGATCTAACTTTTCCCCGGCGCTCCCAGTCTGAAAGGAGAGAAAAACCATCACCTGAAGTCTGTTCACAGGCACAAATGAATTACATTTTCCCTATTTAGATAGAAGTTTTTGGTTTGTGTTTTCAGTACAGGAGGCGGGACCAGTTCTACAGGGGCACTGACCCCTGACTAAAACAACCCACCACACTGTCTCAACTGGACATCCATTTTTATTCCAAATAATCCGTATTTTATTTTGAAAAGCACAGTGGACGATCTCCCTCTGGCTTCAAGTTCCAGTGGGATCCTCTTCTCTGTTTTTTGTCCCACATGACAGTCACTGTAGCACTGATGCTTGAGTTCTTGATGTACATGTTCACTTCCATATCCATTTCACTCTGGTTTCAGCCATTCATTGTAGCTCCACTGCTCTCAACACATGCTTCAAAAAACATCTGAGAGTCGCAAAAAGCAAACAGAAGAAAGAAATGAGACCAAATAAGAAATGGCTTCAGGAGAGATAAAATCAGATTATTTCTTAGATTAGAGAAGAAGGTATGGTGCAGTTATTCAGAAAGTGGTGTTTCCACCTTTCATTTGTGGAAAGATGATCAACTACACCTTTAATCAATTATGGCTCCTCATAGTATTGATATAATCATGCATTATTACACTTATTTATTTTATCTAGCATCTTTATAAAATATGATTTCTCACCATCCTGGAGAGAAATATCAGCTGTGCAGCTGCCATCAACACCTTTGCTTATAGATGTTGGAGATTGGCCTGTTTTTCAGTGTAGTCCTGTTTCTCTGATTGACTGACTGGCTGGATGTGCTCTCTACATCCTCTGACATGGGAGCTGGCTTAGAGCTTGTCTGTTTCCTGGACGGGGCCGCCTTTTACAGCTGCATTTCTATCTCTGCTTCTGTCTCCTTGAACCCCAGTCGATCTCAGCAGATGGCCGCTCACACTGAGCCTGGTGCTGCTGGAGGTTTCTCCCTGTTAAAGGGGAGTTTTTCCTCTCCACTGTCGCTACAAGCATGCTTAGTTTGAGGGATTACCTTCAAGTTGATGCAATCAACTGGTTTTCCTTAGATAGAAAGATTCTAATCAATCTGACTGGATGATCTTTTGAACTGTAAAGTGCCTTGATATGACCTTTGTTGTGAATCGGCGCTATAGAAATAAACTGAATTGATTTCAGAGCAATCCTTCAAATATTTAGTGCCACCATTTTCTAAGTAATTTCTGATCACCTATAAACTAGAGTCCAGAGTCTATGCTGAAAGACAGCGGTCGCAAAATATTCAAAGCAAACGGTTAAAGTGTATCTTCCTCTCACCTGATGGTGGCAGTGTAATCTCACGGTTTCCTGTCTAAATCTGGATTACCGGTAATCTCTGATTTCCTAAATGCTACATTCATCTCATGGCTTCAGGAGAGATATTTGCATCATTAATCTACAGCATTCAGCTTTCTATCTTAAAGGGCCCCATGCAGGAGCTGTTCCCTTCATCCAGTCAGGCCCACCTGTCAGATTGAACGGACTCTGGAAAGGGCTTTGAGATGATGTGCTGTAAAGACGCACTGTAAAAAGTAATATTGATAAGAGACCTTCAGGAAATTCTAACATGATCAATTCTCAGAGGCATGAGGACAGAGAAACAGTGTGACACAAAGAGTCAGAGAATTCACATTTAAAACATTTCCTTGGTTTGCTAATGGCCACATCTAAGTTTCAGGCCTAAGAGACATCTGCCAGGTTTCCCACCGTGCTACTGCAGTCTTTAAAGGTAAAAATGGATTTTGTCTGTGATATGAAATTATCTATTAAAACAAATTACCAGGTTAAAAAAACTGAACTACTTTTAGTCCCCCTCCCCCTTATTAGGAATCCCTCTAAGAACAGTTTCAGATCCAGCACACATTTCCACCGTCAGCAATGTTCTCCAGAATGACGGGCGCCATCATGAGAGGGAAACCGTGCTCCGGACGGCTCTATAAGTTCATTAATAGACTGTTTGATGCCAAACAATATGAGCGTGGAGACAAAGGAAGCTGGATCTACAACCAGAGGACAGTGACTCAAACTAAAGGCTCATTTTTATTTGATTACGATGTAATGATTCATTGCATCAAATGAGACTGATTTTCCTTTAACTTCCCCACATTGATGAGCTGATGGGATCCAGTAGAACAGTTTTTGCAGTTTGGAAGCTTTTTACCAAGTTTCTGT